GGTGTCCCGTATATGGTTTGTCCTCTATCCAGGTGCCTCCTGGCAATCCACATATCCTTGAGATGAAGGCGTACCTGAATTGAGGATAAATGCCCTCATCTGTGTTTTGGTTTGCTGTTGACGCAGAGCACCAATGGCTAAAGCAATGGAGGTCAAGTCTGTGCATATATGTCAGGCACTCACTGAGTGTTCTGCTAGACCTGGCTTTCTATGGCAGCTGGCAACCAATCTGTGGAGACAGCTAAACAATTGCCTGTCAGAGCCTGCACTATACTAATTAGATTCCTTCAACCTTTAATCTAATTTACTAAATGTCTCTGACAAATCTACTGCTGCTCCTGTATCTATGCACTTGCACAAAATTATTGATGACTGACACAATGGCATCATCTTTAGTTTGGGGTTGATGCTGGTACTTGGTCTCTTGAAGTCCTCTGAGTGCCACTAATTGGAGGTGTTTCTTCTTCAGCCAGCTTCAGAGTTGTGTTCGTGATGTGCTCACCACAATGGACTCAGGAGGCCAATCTAGTTAAAGTGCCCTCAAAGGTGAAAATATCTAAACTAGAGGAGTTTGCAGGATATGGCTTTGTCGGTGTTTCCTTTGAGGGATCAATGGCTTCTTCCTTAGAGGTGGAAAAGGAGCTGATATGTGGAGGGGCTGGTCTCTTGTGGATGGAGGTGCCACAAGTGCCTGCATAAGACAAAGGGAATGAGTTGTGCAATGAGTGTAGATGCTTGAACTTGTTAAGAGTTTGCTTACACTGGTGATAAATGGGGACTGTGTGTGTGTGTGTGTGTGTGTGTGTGTGTGTGTGTGTGTGTGTGTAATGCAGCACAGTGCTATGAATTTTGTTTCCTATTAGGGCTTGGAGGCCTTGGCATCCTCCACAGTGAGTGGTCCTATTTCGCAAGCTGAAGGATTTTCTATTCATACACAGAATGAGGGGAGGAAAATTAGCCACTCTGCCACCTGTTTTCACCCTGTCTGTTCTATTGAAAGTTGTCTTGCCTAATGCTTCTGTAACAGGAATGAGTAAATCCTGGGTTTTAAAACAGTCCAGACAAACTGAGCAATCAAACATGAAACCTCCAACAATCAATCTGAACAACACCGCTGATTTAAAGAAACATGTTGAAACACAAGATGGCAGTGTCAGGGATAGCAGCGTTCAGCCGCATCCACACGGCTTCATCGTTGTCTTTCTAGCTCGGGAGCTTGGTCACTTTTTTTATTTGTTTTTGTCCTGGGGCTTCCTGACATCCTCCTGCTGGAAGCTGGGGCCCCATGTACCTCCATCCCCACTCCATTTCAGGTGGCGGCATCGAAAGATGAGCCAGGACTGGTGTCGACCAATGTCCAGTGTTGAAGGAGGAGGTGCAGGAAACGTGCAGTGTGACTGTCTCCAGCTCAGAAGCAGTGGATGCAGAAGTGATGGCACTGGTGGTGGCAGCAAAGGAGCACAGTGCCAGGACTGAGGGGATGATATTGAATGGCGCTGACAGGAGGAACAAAGAGGGTGAAGACTACAGAGAGGCAAAGATGAACTTTTGAAGCTATTTCAGTTTTAGTAGTATCAATTTAAATATTCATTTATTTTGTATTTCACCATTTATACAATTTATACAGTAATTTATTCTGTAATCCAAGATGGTGCCAGAACATGACAACATTGTACACTTTTCACTGTACCTGGGTACAAGTGACTAATATTAAAGAAATCTAAATCGTTCTTCTGTAAGGAGACAGACCAGGGCTTATACACTTAATGGGAAGGTCCTGGGGAGTGTTGCTGAACAAAGAGACCTTGGAGTGCAGGTGCACAGTTCCTTGAAAGTAGAGTTGCAGGTAGACAGGATAGTGAAGGCAGCATTTGATATGCTTGCCTTTATTGGTCAATGCATTGAGTTTAGGAGTTGGGAGGTCATGTTTACGTTGTACAGGTCATTAGTTAGGCCACTTTTGGAATACTGCATGCAATTCTCATTTCCCTGCTACAGGAAGGATGTTGTGAAACTCGAAAGGGTTCAGAAAAGATTTACAAGCATTTTGCCAGGGTTGAAGAGATTGAGCTATACGGAGAGGCTGAAATAGACTGGGCCTATTTTCCCTGAAGTGTCGGAGGTTTATAAAATCATGAGGATAATGGATAGGGTGAAAAGACAAGGATTTTTCCCTGGGATGGGGAAGTCCAAAACCAGAGGGCAAAGTTTAAGGTGAGAGGGGAAAGATTTAAAAGGGACACAGAGGGTGGTGCGTGTGTGGAATGAGCTGCCAGAGGAAGTGGTGGACACTGATACAACTACAACATTTAAAAGGCATCTGGATGGGGATGTAGATGGGAAGGATTGAGAGAGATATGGGCCAAATGCTGGCAAATGGGACTGGATTTATTTAGGTTATCTATTCAGCATGGATGACTTAGACCAAACGGTCTGTTTCCATGCTGCACAAACTCTATGTCTCTAAGTAAAATTCTATTCTTCCCGACAATCTGACACCTTCACAATGGGACCATGGCCCTGTCATGTAAGTGGAAAAGGAAACTAAGAAGAATAAGTCCATTTTGCTGCTATTTAGTTGGAGGAAGTGTAAGTACTTCTAAGTCTTGATAGTGCATGGGTAGTTGGAGTGATTGGCAAGAGCCTGGGAGGTCAAAGAGAAAGTGATACTGAGTGTTACTAGTACAGTTAATGGTACAGAAGATGAATATTGTTGAAAAATACATATTAATAAACCAAAGCAATCTATACAGATTGCTGAAATAAGGCACATTTTGTTGAAGCTTTTCGTCTTGCATTTATCAGAACATTTCACAAGAATAACAATCAAAAGGGGAATAAGATTTTATACTGGATAAGAAGAGAATGCCGATTAGATGGCAAGTGGACTTTGATTGATAGAGGCATTGTCACGTAGAATGCACCAGTTAGATGATGACTGACAAATAACAGCCAGGCTTTGTTTAAATATGCCCTTGGATTGGTAAAGGCATTGCTCTGAGAAATTAACTAGAGAATGACTGTCACCTATTTTGTTAAACATTGGTATAATGTGTGTTTCTATTCTTCATTTGTCAAGAATGGTGCCCTGTATATTAATATGTAGCTTCCATTGCATACAAGTATGCACACTGTAAGCCCAATTGCAACCTTAAATTGGTTGTCAGCACAATTCTTGCACACTTCAGAAATATTTAAATCTTAATGACTAACCTAAATTCATGTCAATTCAACCTGCCATTCAGCACACCCAGTAGTCTGAAACCTTGTGTAAGATCAATGAACTGCTGGCTAGAGTGAAGCATAAAGATTGGGTAACTTATCCCACCCTATGTTCTTAGGATGTGGACAGGAATATACAACTGGAAGGGATTACTGATTAATGGTGGAAGAGGTCATAAGAAGATTTGAAGGGGAGAACAAAGATTTTAAAATACATTCTCTGGGGTGTGGTGATCTAGAGAATGAGAACATGTTTAAGTATATGTAGAGTCATGAATTGTGGCAGTTTGATCATTTCGTTCTTAAAGATGGTATAAGCAGGAGGCTGGCAAGGAAAGCATTGAAGAGATCGAATCTTGAGGTGATAAAGTTGGAGACTAGATTTTGCCAACAGCCAGGAATAGATAGTAAATGCTTTGGAAATGATAAACCAATTTGGAAAATGGGAAGAATCTGGGGGGAGAGCACTTATGCATCAATGGATGTAGCCTAAGCTGACAGCTGTGAAAATTAATGGATTGAACAAGAGAGGCATGTAAGTGGAAATGGAAACTAAGAAGGATAAGTCCATTTTGCTGGTATTTAGTTGGAGGAAATGTAAGTACTTCTAAGTCTTGATAGTGCATGGGTAGTTGGAGTGATTGGCAATAGCCTGGGAGGTCAAAGAGAAAGTGATACTGAGTGTTACTAGTACACTTGTAAAAGCTGATCCCATGCCACTGGATTGTGTGTCCAAGAGTTAGAACATAAATAATGGTGAGAAGGTCGGGGGGTGGGGTGGGGGCGGTGGGTTATAGAGTTATAGTCAACAGAGGGAGAAAAACCATTGGAAACAAAGGGAAGATGAGATGTGCAGGAGTTAAATCACCAATTATTTGCAGGTTTATCTGCATTACTAAGAAATCCTTAATAAACAGCCTTATAAACACAGAAGGATTCTGTTTCATCATTCATATCCACTTATGTTCACTACCAGTGGCACTGTATAATAATTAAGTATCAACTGCAGCGTTCTTTTTAGATACACAAGCTATTAACCCCAATGAACTAATGGATTCTACTTGGTCTTAAGTTAAAGCATTGGGTTGAATGGGTTTTGCACATTCCAGTGACATTGGTTCAGCTACTTTGAAACTCAATATTATTCCTCCGTGATCTGACTTATGTTGCAGTTCTTACCATTTATGCAGATGTGCTAATTTTGTTTTAAACTTATATTTCATATTTTTATAGCTAGTATATTACAAGATTGTTCTTGCTTTGGTTCTTGTTTTCACAATGTTTAACATTATATTTTAAGTTGCTAACTATTCAACTTCTGTTCACTCCAAGTTGATGCAATAGCTGATCCAGCTCCATGTTTGAGCCTCATCACTTTCCCTAAAAAAATTTTATTTCTCCTTCCTAATAAAGGAAAACTGTTCTTTTCTAAATGATTATTTAGTTCTTTCCTAATAATAATCTTTCCTTTCCCCATGATATAATCTGATTTGGTCTTTCTCCTCCAACTAGTTTAACATTTTTTTCTTCATAAAGAATATAATTCTTCCTGGAGTGTAATTATTTAATATCTATAGCATTTCATTGTAAACCCTCCACAATAAAATCTGACTCTTTGCAAACACATCTTAGTATGCCAATTTCATTTCCTCCCAGAGAACTTGGAGTCTACTTAATCTTAGTTACCCATGGAATGTAGCTGTCTTATGGTAAAGCTTGGTTATGTTCCCACCATCACCATGCATTTTCTCCATTTGCCCCTCTGTTATCCTTCATACCTTGTATACTGTAATGGGAATGTCTATTAAGATGTAGAGCAGATCTCCCAGGGCAAGACTGGCGATTAAGACATTCGGTCCATTTCTCATACATTTGATCTTGTAGATAATTCTGAGCAATGTAGAATTTCCAATGATTCCCACCACAAAGATCACACAGGAGACCACAGAATTGACGTACTTGAAAGCATGTCGTATTTCCGTCTGTTTAATGCACAAAGGAGGAGATGAAGACCCAGTTCCTTTATTTGAGGGAATAGCTGTTTTCTGATATCCATCTGTAAAGGGCAGCACATCTTTTGGTCTTGGTGGGCTTGGAGTAGGAATTCTGTTTGTCATTAATTTTTCTGTAATAAAGTTCCTATTGGAATTATTTTTGGAAGCTGCTCCTTGCCCATATGTGATCACAATCTGCCAGGTTAATAGTAGAGCAAGGAACATCATAACATTTGCTGCAGCCATGGAATCAGGCATGGATTCACAAGTAATTGGTAGATTTGTACTTAAATAACAATGATGAAATCTCTTTCGTCAGCAGGAAACTAAATAAATAAAAACAAAGAACAAAATAAGATCTTGCAAAAATATAGTTTACTTCACCTTCAACATTTATAGAAAAAAAACCTAACTGAAAAATTTCTGCTGTGGTACCTTTATTGGCTTTTAAAAAATATTTTCAATTTCATTTTCTGATAATTATGATCCCATTTTGGAATATGTTGGTGCTGAGCATTGGTTGATAAAATTTCCAAAGGTTTTCTAACTCGTTGCTCATTGGGGATTAATTGAGGAGATGAATCCCACCAGATCCTGCAGTGGTCAAATGAAGAGGACATAAACTCTGAAGAGGATCTGGTCACAGTTGTTCACTGCAAAAGTGTATAGATCCTTGGAACCATGGACTTTGAAATTAATTTTAAAACATTCTGACCACACAAAATGGTAAATAACTTTTACCATTTTAATTAAAGTTAAAAGCAGGCTTCATTTTGTCTTGGCTCAGAGTTTAAAATAAAATTTGCTCTAGAGAGTTCATTTTTTGGATTACTTTGCTTTCATGCTGTGTTATATTTTCCACTTAAAATTTAATGCCTACTATAAATTCTACTGTGCATGATTAAAAACAATGAACAAATTAAAAATGTACTTTTCATAATCACTATGTGTCTTGCTATTTAGAAGGAACTTGAAGTTCCGAAAGGTGCTAGATAAATGCAAAGTTCGTTTTCCTTAGGAAGGTAAAGAATGGGAAGGCAATGTTTCAGTTTGGAATTTGGAGAAAAGGAACTACAGCTTGATTTTGTCATCCACCAAAAAAGAAATGCAGAAGTTCTGAAAGGTGCTAGATAAATGCATTTCCTATTTGGTGGATGATAAAAATCAAGCTATAGTTCCTTTCTTCCGCCAATTCCAAACTGAAACATTGCCCTCACATCCTTTACCTTCACCCATAATAATAAGGAAAAGTTTAAATTTGCATATTTATACAGTGTTTCTTGGAAGTCAGATGTGTTAAATTCTTTTACAGCTAATGATATACTTTTGAAATGTACTCATTATTGTAAGGATCTGAAAATGTCATTTGACAGCAGGGTCCTATAAACAGCAATGAAATCATAACCAAGTAATTTTACTTCCGTGAAAATGATGAAGGACAACTACTGAGACATCAGGAGAACATCACTGCTTTTATGTTCCATTAATGGCACAGCTTCTTTCATGTTCACTGAGAGAATGGATGCAGCTTCACATTGTCTCATATGAAAGCTGGCAGGTCCAACAGAACAACACTCCTCGTCAGCCTCAATGCAGGTTACGGGCTGGATTTTTGCAGAGTCTAGGAAGATCTGGGGATTCTCAGAAATGGCAGATGGAACGGAGATCTACATTTCCAATAAAACCCATTCTTGGTATTAGTGGAAGGGGTCAGGAAGGACCCATGAGGGAAATCAAGTCTCAACAAAGCCATTTGAACTCCGTGATGAGCTCATAAAGGCCCCATTTAAGGTTTTTTGTGATTCTTTCAAAGGATGTGGGCCTTGCTGGCCAGGCAAGCATTTATTGGCACTTCTAATTGCCTCGCAGAGGGTGATAGCGAGAGGCCTTCTTGAACTGCTGCGGTCCTTGAGGTGTAGGGACACCTACAATGCTGTTGGGAAGACAGCTCCAGGATTTTGGCCCAGTGACACTGCAGAAGTGATAATATAGTTCCAATTCAGGATGGTGTATGACTCAGAAGGGAACTTGCAGGTAGTGGTGTTCTAAGGCAATTGCTGCCCTCATCCATCTAGGTGATGAGATTGGGTGTTTGGAGGATACTGTTTGAGGAGACTGTCTGTGTTACTGTCGTGTGTATTTCAAATTGTACAGAATGCTACCGCTGGTGCTTGGTTTTGGGATGAGCCAATTCAACCAAGTGACTGTGGGGCAGCATCCAAATAAGAATGATCATGTAGTTTAGGTTAATATAGGACAAAAATTAAGGACAGTAATTTAAAACTATATTTCTTAATTGGAAGAGGGCTGTATTCAAAGGTGATCTAGCTAAGTAAAATGGAATTAAAGATTGAAAGCAAAACTGTAACAGAACAGTGAATAATCCTTAAGATGTTTCAGGTGCTGCCTAGGTTCATTCTGACAAGTGTGAAGAGTAAAGGAATCAAACCATGGCTTCTGAGATATGGAGGGAGATAGGAAAATTGCTGTTATAAATTAGTGGGTTCATGTTAGGGAAATTCTTTTGAGCTCAAACCAGGTCATATGCAATAAATTGAGAGGGAAAGTAAAGAGGACAATAAGACTGGCAAGGAGAGAATATGAGGATCAAATAGCAGTTAACATAAATGGAATCCAAAAATCTTCTGGTGTAATAGTAAATAGTAAGCAGGTAGTAAAAGAATGATGTGGGTCCTATTAGAGACAAGGAGCATGATATATACCTAGGCAAGTTGAAAATAGTTAATGAGTACTTGGATTGCTGTTTACCAAGGAAGAGGATGGTGATAAAAAATGCAGTAAAAGCAGATAATAGAGGTAATGGAGGGGGTGAACATTGATAGACTGGATGTAATGGAAAGGCAGGCTATTCCTAGAGAAGATACATTACCTGGTCTGGATGGCTTACATCCCACCTTGTTATGGAAGTAAAAGTGGAGATAGTAGTGTTTGCTGTAATCTGCTGCATTATTCCAAGACATAAAACAGAAAGAAAAACCCTAAGGTTGTCACTGTAGTGTAGATTTGTGGGAAAACTGCATTATTAGAGTTGCTGTTTCTCATGTTAGATGTTTAAACCATACCCTGTCATCCTGTTGTCTGATATAACAAATCTGAAGGCACTCTTGAAGAACAGCAATGGAGTTATCCCCACTTTAAGCCAATACTTATCCCTCAATCAACATCATAAAAACAAATAATCTGGTCATCAATTGCTGTTTATAGAGTTTTCTGAGCAAGTGTTGGGCATTGCATTTCCGACCTTACAGCGGTGATTACGATTCAACGTTACTTCATTGACTGTAAAGTGCTGAGATACCCAACAACTAACGCCTAAATGCAACACTTTCCATTTCCTTCCTATAGAAATGTGAACATTCCAGAATATTTGAATGTGACAAATGTGACACCACTGTTCACAAGAGGAAATAGGGGCAACTCCCCGTAAGTATGCACAGTCAGTTTAATACACACATTGTTGAATTGGATTTTAAGTGTTTGACATACTGCCATTTAGAGGCCTGGTTAACACAATTGAGTCACATGGAATAGAGGAATTGGAAGAGATTTACTAGATTGGTTCCAAGAATGAGGGAATTTAGCTACATGATTATTTTGGAGATCTTGGAGTTATTTCCCCTGGAGAGCATCAAGTTGAGAGGAGAATTAGTTGAGGTTAAAAGATTGTTGCAAGTTTAGGGAAGGTGCAAAAAAGAAAAAGGTATTGCCATTAGTTGATGCTACAAGGATGGGCACTTGAGGGGAATAAACACACGATAATTGGCATAGACCTAATAACGTTGCTGCTTTTTAAAAATGAAACACTGACACAAAGAGAGAGTCCCAGTGACAGATGCAGCATTTAATACACTATCACTGGAGCTAAATAGAAGGAAAGATGTCACGGTTCCATGGGAGAGGGTCAAGGAGCTCACAAGGCTCACCCTCAGAGGGGAATTGGAGGATTTAGCCAGGGATGTCAACTTAGTGTCTACACCTGAAGAACTGATAATAGTGCCAGCAAAATGCACCATGAAATTCACATTATCAGGTCAAACACCTACCTGCCACCGCCTACCTCCTAATGCTATCCTTCAGCTGATGTATCTGTACACCTTCATATTAAACACTACTAGCACTGTAGCACTGAGGATGCACACAGGACGGAGAACATCAATGTCCATCACTCATTATGACTCAAATACGACTTTTGACAAATTGGTTAAGTTGTGAAAGACATGTCTTTCAGACTGTGATTGAAGCAGGTAATGGGAAAACAAGTGTGAGGAAAATATTTTCTTGATCTTGTTGTACCATCAATTTACCTGCGGCTGATGCATTGTTGTTGGCAGCATTGTTGTCTCTGACCAATACAGTCTTTGTGTGGACCAAGTCCTGTCTTCACAGTGAGGGCACCCTCCATTGTATTGTGTGGCACCATCACTATGTCAAATGGAATAGATTCATTTCAGATTGAGCAGCTCAACACTGGAGATCTGAGAGCCTATGGGTCATCAGCAGCAGCAGAATTGCATTTTGGCTTGACAGAGATCATAGGCCCTGGTTATTGGGCTTTGAAGTACTCCTTTGTCCTGGTCCTAACCAGGGACAACCTTGGTTCAATGAGGAGTGTAAGACAGCACAGCAAGCAGTATATAAAAATGAGATATCCATCTGGCACAGCTGTGACACAGGACTGTCAGCATGCTGTGTAGCATGCTATAGAGAAAACTAAATCACACCACCATCAATGGGTCCCAATAAATTTTCCAACTTTGCAGAGGGCACTGCATAGAGCTTTACTTCTCTATCTCCTTGTAATGCTGCAGACACAAGTTTGGACTCCAGTGGGAAGTCATACCTGGCATGTAGGATGGCTGTGGTTGTTGGAGGTCAGTTATCTCAGCTCCAGGACTCTCTGCAGGAGTTCCTCAGGGTAGTGTCCTAGGCCCAACCATCTTCAGCTGCTTCATCAATGACTTGGCCTCCATCAGAAGGTCAGAAGTGGAGGTGTTCGCTGATGATTGTACAATGTACAGCACAATTCGTGACTCCTCACATACTGAAGCAGTTCATGTTCAAATCAGCTAGATCTGGACAACATCCAGGCTTGGAAGGCAATGTGGTGAGTAACATTTGTGCCCCACAAATTCCAAGTCATGGTCATCTCCAATAAGAGACGATCTAATCATCACATTTTGATATTCAGTAGCACTACTATCACTGAATCCTCCACTTTCAACATCCTGGAGGTTTGCATTGGCAGAAACT